AAAGAAAAATTAATGGTTATCCTGCAAGAATTTTGTTAAATAATAATGCTTCTCAAAACTTTATTAATATAAAGTTTATTGAACAAAACAATATTACAACTACAAACATTAAACCTATTATGATGAAACTTGCTGATAGAAGAAAAACTGAAACCAAACAAATTGTAAATGGTAAAAAGTTGAAATTAGGAACCTACTATACTTCTGGAATCCAAGTTTAAGTTATTACTTTACAATGATATAATGCTATTCTTGGAAAACCTTGGTTATATTATGCTAACCCTACTATTGATTGAAGAACCAATACACTTACTTTTCAATATAGTTCTAAAACTATTGTTGTTAAGTCCAATAACTTAAGCTCTGCTTTTTCTAATTCTAATTGCAATTCTATCTATATTTCTTATCAACAACTTGCTAAAACTTCTACTAATGCTGAACTATTTGCAGTATATTTGAATACTTCAATTAACAAGGAAAAAGAGTTTGAACCTGAAGTTCAAAAATTAATTATTTAGTACAAAGATGTGTTTCCTAAAACTTTATCTAACTACTTATCTTCTAAACAAAACCTTGACTATGCTATTAAATTAATATCTAGTGCTAAACCTTTATATTGACCAATTTATAGGTTATCTTATGATGAAACTAATGAGCTTAAAAGGCAACTTAAAGATTTTTTCAAAAAGGCTATATTCATCCAAGCACTTCTCCTTTTGGTGCTTCTGTTCTTTTTGTTCATAAAAAGAATAGAACTTTAAGATTGAGTATTGATTACAGAGTCTTAAACAAAATCACTATTAAAAATCACTATCCTTTACTACACATTGAAGACCTTATGGATAGACTAGTGGGAGCAAAATAGTTTTCAAAAATTGATCTTTATTCTGTTTATCATTAAATTCGAATTAAGAAAAAAAATATTTCTAAAACTGCTTTTTGTACTCAATATGAATATTATGAATTCTTAGTCTTACCTTTTGGCTTAACCAATGTACCTGCTACCTTCATGACTCTTATGAATAATATCTTTAGTGAATTTTTAGATTAATTTGTTATTATATATTTGGATGATATTCTTGTTTATAGTAAAACCAAACATGAACACTTTAATCACATGAAGCAAGTATTGGAAACTTTAAAGAAACATCTTCTGTTTGCTAAAATTAGCAAATGTGAATATTTTAAACAAAAAGTTGAATACTTGGGACATTACATTTCTGCTAAAAGAATTTCTGTTAATACTCACAAAATTGATGCTATAAAAAATTGGCCTATTTCTTTCAACATTTCTGAACTTCGATCTTTTCTTGGACTTGCAAGTTATTATCAAAAATTTGTCAAAAGATTCTCTGCTATTGCTGCACCTCTTACTAAACTTCTACACAAGAATTAAAATTATTTGTGAAATAAGGAACAACAAGAAGCTTTTGACTAACTTAAACTACATCTTATCTCTGCACCTATTCTACTTCTTCTTGATCTAACTAAACCTTTTACAATAATTATAAATGCATCTGACTTTGCTATTGGAACTGTTCTTAGTTAAAATCAAAAAAAGGATAAATAACCTGTTGCCTATGAATCTTGCAAATTTTCTTCTGTTAAACAAAAATATGCTGTTCATGAAAAGAAATTATTAGCTATTGTTCATGTTATTAAACTTTGATATATTTATCTTAAAGGTCAAAAGTTTACTGTAATTACTGATTATGCTTCTTTGAAATATATGAAGTCTTAAAACAACCTTTCACAAAGACAAGCTCGCTGGCTTGAAATTTTATAATCTTGCACTTTTGATATCAAATATAGGCCTAGCAAAACAAATATTGTAACTGATACTTTGTCTTAACAATCTTATTTGGCTAATCTTTCTGTTATTTCTTCTTATTTTACAAACTTTGAAAGAAAATATCTTAAGGACAATTATTTTGCTTCTATTTACAAAACTTTGAAAAATTCTGACTTAAATAATAAAAAAATAACAAACTTGTGCTTGACATTATGAGTTAAGAGACAATAGGCTTTATTTAAAGAAGGACCAATGTCTAGCTATTCCTATAGATAAGAAATTAAGAACTAAATTATTGAAGGAATATCATAATATTAAAATAACAGGACATCTTAGAATTGATAAAACTTATGAAACAATTCGACAAGATTATTTCTGGCCAAAAATGAACAAAGATGTCAAGAAATTTGTTTTAACTTGTAACTTCTGCCAATGTAATAAAAGTAGTAATCAACAACCAGCTGGGTTACTTTAAACATTAACAACTCTAACAACAAAATAGGACCAAATTACTATGGACTTTATTGTTCAGTTATTTATTACATGACTGAAACATAATGCTATTGTAGTTTTTGTTGATAGATTAACTAAAAGAGCTTATTTTCAATCTACATATACTATTATTACTACACCTGAAGTTGCTAAAATTTTCTTTTCAACTATCTTTAAAAACTATAAATTTTCTAAAGTTATAATTTCTAACCAAGATACTAAATTTACAAGTAACTTTTGGAAATCATTTTTTAATCATATTGGGACTAAATTAGTAATGTCTACAGCTTTTCATCCTCAAATTGATGGCCAAATTGAAAAAATGAATTATATTTTGGAAAAAATGCTTAGAGTATATTAAACATATAAACAAGATATTTAAGATGAATATTTGCCTATAGCTGAATTCATTTACAACAATTCTAAATAAGCATCTAATAGATTTATTCTATTTGAATTGGATTATGAACAACTCCTAATACTTCTACTTCACTTACAACCAACAAACTTAATCAAGTACCTGCTGCTAAGGATTTTATTAACCATTAAAACAATATAATAAAATTGTTAAGGATACTTTAATAATAGCTCAGGAAAGGTAAACAAAATAGTAAACTAACATTAATATGAATTAAACTTTAATATTGATGATAAGGTTATGTTATTAGTCTATAATATTAACAACCCTATTGACAAATACAGACCTATTTGTAAATTGGCTCTAAAATATTTAGAACCTTATATTATCTCTGCCAAAATCTCATCAATGAATTATTGATTGAACTTATTTTTTACTTTGAAAATTCATTCTATATTTCATGTTTTAATATTAAAAGCCTTATTAAGAATCTGAAGAATTTAACTGTAAAGCTTCACCTCAACCTATTATTATCTCTGAATCTAATGAAACTAAATATAAAGTTGAACAAATTTTAGATAAAAGATTAATTCACAACAAAACACAATATTTAGTTAATGGTTAGATTATTCTTTACATGATGCTATTTGAGAATTTGTTGAAAATTTGAAAAATGCTTTAGAAAAACTTAAAGAATTTGAATTGATAAGAAGATCAAATCTTAAAGAAAAGAGAATGTAACAATACTATAATTTCTTTATAATTTTTTTTTTCATTATTTTTCTAAGTCTTTTCTTAATTACATACTAATTACTATAATTAATTTAATTATATTTAGTTTATCAGTTTATCAAATATAATTAGAATTAATTTAGCAAATATAATATAGATAAATAAGTATTATTATAACTTATTTATTTCACTCTATGGTACAATTTTGCTTATGAATGATGTGATTAGCATATATATTAATGATCGATTTTGATTTGTAATGATTTATATTTATTTTCTATTTTTATCTTTATTTATTATTAATTATATATCAAAATCTTCTGAATAGATTAGTAAGTCTTAAGAGTAAACTAAGCTTCTATTTTTAATATACTTTTATTTTTAAATTTATGTACTTTTAAAAATTATTTAAACCTAACAAGATTTCTTTAATAAAATTTTAAGTATTTTTATTGACAAAATTATATACAAAGTACTTTAAATAACAAAAATCTTTATATATTTAAAATAAACAATCAAAAATTGTATGCGTGATTAATTGTAAACTCACCTTGTACAAGTTATATAATCATAATTAAAATACAATAAAAACAATAGACATAATCACAGTCTTAGTAAAAGCAAAAAAAAAAATTTTTTAAATATCAAATCAGACTTAGAAGTTACATGATCCAACACTTCATCTCAATAATAAAAACTGAATTTTTGAAAAATAGGTTATATAATAAAATTGTTTAACAAAAACTTTTTGTTAAAATATAAAAAATGTTTCTTATAATTTTAAGCTATAAGCAATTTTTGACAAAATGAACAAATCTAATTCGTAGTTCAGGAGATCTGCACCACCAACCTTGTACACATTTAGTGATTGATAAGTACCCTAGCCATGGCGAAAACGAAGTGTCGGGTCATGTGATTTCCGACGCTCTAAATGATCACCCACCAATCAGAATCCAGGATCTGGTGTAACGTGAAATTTTACGAAAACAATAAAGTTTTTCAAAAATTGCAAATAGCTTAAAATTTTGCTTATTAAATCACATTCTGCGCTCTAATTAAAAAAATTTCTTGCAAAATTTTACTATATGATATGATTCCCTAACCCTAAATATATGGTTTTTTCCTGTTGTCTTCGATTGTTTTGATTTTTAGATATCAGACCGGAGCTTCGGAAATCACATGACCCGACACCTCGTTTTCGCCATGGCTAGGGTACTATGATTGATCGTGTTACGTCACACCTGATCACGAAATGTGATTGGCTGGTTAAAAGATAATTGAATTCACCAGGGCGATCTCCCATTTTTCGTGTCATGTGATAATCGACAACAAATTAGCCAATAATAAACCATAATTTGGTGTAATGTTACACGATCAAAAAAGTTCACTTTATCAAAAATCTCCTTTATTTCAAAATTTTGCATAATAAACCGGTCTTTACTGTAAGTACCTCTTTCTAACCCTAATTCTAAAACTAACTCGACACTAATTCTAATTTTAACGAATATTAAGTCATTTTGTCGATCATCACATGACCCGAAAAACGGGGCCCTATGAATGAAATTGATATCAGATAACAATAATCATTTTTAATTTGTGTAGTGGCAAAAAATTTTCTTTACTGAAATGGAGACTCTATGGAAACTTGATGGACTTGAGGTAAAAAAATCTTCGTTGTTCGTGCAATCTATATCGAATTCTTACATTGGATGTTTATAATTTCAGGACAGAATAAAAGCTCATAACGATTTTATAGATTCTGTCATAAGTTTAATACCTCCTAAACATTACTTTAAAAATTATGTAAGTTATCATATTTTATAAATAATGATATCGTAATCAAATTGACAAGACATAGCCTAGCATTTCAGACGATGAGGACAAGCAATCTCAATATCGTAAGACAAAAAAAGGCTCCAAAAAAGGTTTCAAGGAGCAAAAGAAAATAAACAAAAGAACAAAGGTTTTAATTATACATTCAATCATAGCATTTCGAATTACTTTTAGATCCTCGCTTCTTATCGGTAACCTTCAAACCGTATACATTATTATTATAGTTTGATCCCAATAATTTAAAGACTGTAACTGATATTCAGCAAGAAAAACTAAACAAAAACAAAGAGAAAATTAAAGAGGTAGATGAAAAGTTAGATGATAGTAAATCAGTTAAGAAACATGGCGAATTAAAGACTAACAGTGAAAAAGTCAACGCCTTGAGAGAGGAAAGTGACGATTCAAAATTTGACAGTGAAGGTAGGCGAATCGGGTCAATAGTGATTGCTAAAATTTGTTTGCTTATATGATATTTAAATTTTATTTAGATGCGCCATTATCAGTTCAGAAAATTAAATTTGCGGAACGTACTTCTAATTCCCCGGTGCATTTATCGATTTCTGAGCGTCTTGCTCGACTACGTCTTGCAAAACAAACACCAGATCCAAACTCAATCAAAAATAACCGTAAGAGAAAGAATCGAAACAAAAATTCCCAGAAAAAGGAAAGGAAGGTAGAAAAGCAAAAAAAAAAAAAAATTAGTCCAGAGAATAATTCTTTAGATGCTAAGAATGATTCTACGCAAGGTTTACCGGGAGATGTTAATAGCATTCAGTATGCCAAATTTGATTTTGATGATAATAAAAAAAAGAAAAAGCTAGATAATGCGCAATTGATTAATAAAGTAATGTATTGATTCTATTCATTCATTAATTTGGCTTATAAGTGATGATTAAACCTAAATTCTGAGTGATGATTAAACCTAAATTCTGTGTTAGTTAAAAAGTAAAGCGGAAAAGTTCGAGAAATTAAAGAAAGAAGATCCAGAGAAGGTAAATAATTTGAAAATGATAATGTTTTTAAAACTTAAATAACATTTATTAGTTGATTAGGCTGCAGAATTACGCGAAAATGAGGCATGGTCTAAAGCTCTACAAAAGGCACGAGGCGAAAAAATTAAAGATGATCCCAAGTTATTAAAGAGAACTATTAAAAAGATCAACTTTAAAAAGAAAAGTAGTGAAAAAGCATGGTACGACTTTGATTACTTATGACGTTTGATTTTTTTGCCAAGGACACGATGTTCGTCTATATTGATACTTTATTCAGGAAGGAACGAGTTGAAGCGGTTGCTAAGACTCAAGCTGAGCGGCAACAAAAAAGAACAGCAAACATTCAAGCTCGTATTGATGCAAAGAAGAATAAGGTAACGCGATATTTATTTATTCATTATTTGCTAATTTATTTTTTAAACATAAGCCTAACTATTTGGGAATATAGAAGCGCAAAAAATCTTAAGGTACGTCAACTATGCGCAACTTATTATCTTAATTAGCATACAATGTATCATTTGAATTTTTGAATAAGATTCATGATTATGCAACTAAAACATTACAGTACGCGACGCCAAGTCACGTGCTTATATTCATGTATGTGAACCCAACTTTGCTTATAAAAATCATATATCGATATAAAGAAAGTGATAAATAAAATATAAATTATACCAATGAATGTTGATATAATTATATTTAGATTGTTTTAAAGAAAACTTCATGCCTATATAAAGACTGGGTCACTATTTTTCGTCAAATTTAGCATGTCATTTAATTCCGCAGTCATTGTTTTATTGTTTTACTGGGGTTTAGAACATAAGTCTAATTGACCTCTAATCAAGATTTTTTAAGGCTGCTCGATACGGTAGTATCGAGGCAGCTTTTGTCTCGAATCAGGCATGTGACATTGGGTTTTAAATGCACTATGTAAATCAAATCAATATGTGGTCCTATATGAAAATCAATTTGAGATTTTGTGTAACATACGTAATTATCTCATTTGTGCCAATTATAAAAAAATTGAAATTTCAATAAAAAAAATTTAACAATCTTATTATTTTTCGGTCTGTAAAAAAAAAACTCTCTTTTATGTTAAAATATAGTATTCGTTGAACTTCTTTGTGAAATTTCTTAATAGGTTAATATGTAAAATAACAAGAAAATACAATTTTAAATAACAATTTTTTATAGAAAATCACCATATTTCAAATTGCATTTTTTTGCTATTTTACATATAACCTATTAACAAATTTCACAAAGGAGTTTAACAAATAGTATATTTTAACATAAAAGAGAGTTTTCATTTATTAAATAGGTTAGTATGTAGAATACTGAGAAGATATAATTTGAAATATTGCAAGTTTCTATAAAAAATCTTTATATTTCAAATTGTACCTACTTAATATTTTAAATATTAATCTATTTATAAGTTTCAAAAGAGAGTTTAATGGTTAGTATGTTTTAATATAAAAAAGAGTTTTTTATATTAATAGGTTAATTCAATAAGATACAATTCGAAATATAGCAATTTTTTACAAAAAATTAGCATATTTCAAATTGTATCTTCTCAAAATTCTACACATTAACCTATTTAGAAATTTTTTAGAGAAGTTTAATAAATAGAATATTTTAACACAAAAAAAACTTTTTTTTTGATTATATATAGAATATTAAGATATAATTTAAAATAAAATGATTTTTATAAAAAAAATATTTTTAAAATTGTATATTCTTAATATTTTACTTATTAACTTATTTAAAAATTTTATAAGAGAATTTAACAGATAGTGTATTTTAACTTAAAAGAAAGTTTGTTGTTATTAAATAGGCTAATATGTAGAATATTGAGAAGATACAATTTGAAATATAATAAGTTTATATAGAAAATTACTATATTTTAAATTGTATATCAATATTTTACATAATCTATTTAGAAATTTTACAAGTAAATATATAGTATATTGTTTATAAATCAAGTTATTAGCAGAAAAAGGTTAAATTTTTGAATTTCAACTTTTGATTTGAGTTCAGAATTTGATTTAAATTTGGGTTTTTGAATTTGGGCAATTTAAAATATTTAAATTTATATTTAAGGTTTAGATTTAGTTTTAACATTAGGTTTCAAAGTTTTTTTTACTTATAATTTTATTTATTATAATGCTTATTTGAGCTTATTAATTTAATATAATTAAAAATACAGGTTCAGTTAAACTAATTATGCATCTAATTCAAATGCTTAAGCATTATTTTAGCATTAATGCTTTTTTTCTGTTATTTATTAGCATTAATGTTTTTTTCTAATATATTTAAATAAATCAATTTTCTAAATTCAGTATTATAATATAAAAGTAAATAAATAATTATTTGAAAAACTTATTCATATATTTTAAAAAACAAAAAAAAATTTTGAATCAAATAAAATCATGATAAATTATAAAAATAAAAATCATATAAAATTTTTTTATTTATAATGCCAAAACTTAAAAAACAATAGCATTATATAGAAAAAATGTGTACCAAATGACAAAACAATAAAATTTATAAATTAATTAATCAGGTTAAACCAAAATTACTTTATACTATTTATGAAATGTCTAATTTGCAAATAGCTAATATAAATAAAGAAAATATAAATAAGTTTAAATTGCAAGATAAATGAATTGCAAAATAGACCTAAATAGTAAAATAAACCAAAATTGCAAACATCTTCAGCAATTTAAGAAATATCTAAATTACAAAAAGCTAATGCAAATGAAAAACAATTATTTTAAACAATTTGTAATATAGTTATATAACAAATAGCTAATATCTTAAATTTATTTAATATAATAAAATATTCAAAAGAAAACTATATTAATGAAATTATTTTACCTTACCTTCAAAAAAATGCAATTGAATTTATTACTAAAAAACTATATTATAAATTTGATAAGATTATAAATAATAAAAATACTAAATTAAAAGTTAAAAATAAAAGATTAATTAATAAAAATAGAAAATTAATTTATAAAACACAATCCTTAAAAGCTTCTAATTAAAATTTTTACAGTCAGATATCTAATTGAATTTTAACTATTCATTCTCTTTTTTATAAATCAAAAAAAATTTTACTAATAGAATTTAAATATCAGATTAATGCATTATTTAAAACTAATAATAATAACTACTTATTCAATATAATTTAGCTTTCAACAAGAATTTTAAAAATTGAGCAAGTTTCACTTAAGACTATTATTAAATCTTTGCATCTTGTATATGGGTTTTTGATTAGAAAATTTCTTAAAAGATGGTTGTCAATACCTATATTAAGGGTAGAGTACAATGTTAATCATTCCTATATATAATTAATTACAAATTTTATCACTTTTTTTATATTTAATTTTTTAAAATAATATATTAAGTAAATAAATTTTAATTTTTATATAAAAGTTGTATAGTAGGTCTTTCTGATTCTAATGATAGTAAAATTATTAAAATTGGATAAAGACTCATCAAGATATAAGGTTTTAAACATTAGACTATAAAACTATATAATAAAATTAACTTATAGATTTATGTAAATTAATCAATCAAATTATCTAATTTTGTACTATCTAGGCAAATTTTAATTGATCTAAGCAAACTTTATTATATATACAAGTATATTTTTTTAAAATAATATAATAGTTCAAACTTTTACTATAATAGATAAATCATTTTATTTATAATATTATAAAATTTTTTTATTAATTAATTAAAAAATAAAAAAGTTTTATTAATAATATATTTTGTAGTTACTATATAAAATTTTTTTTACAACTAATTATATATAAAAATGATTTATGTTGTATACTACCTTTAAGTACTTAATATTAGAAAATTTCACAGATCAAAATTAACTATACAATGAAACAAGTTACTTAATATTTAGTATTTAAAGTTTTGTAGATAAATCTACTTATGACAAAACAAAAAATTTCATTATTTATATTATGTTTTGAAATAACAAAAAAAATATATTAATTACTTACCTCTACCAATCCTTTCTGTATTCAACTATGACTTCAAAATGGTCACTCTATTTTGAAACAACTCTACTATACCTATTATCTTGAAAACTCTCTTTTATTTCAACAACAAATTAATAAAACTACTGACAAAAGATGTATTACTCTTACAACACATCCTATTCAAACTATTAATAACATTCTCAATCACTATTATTAATCTGTTTATCTTTTAAATATAAAATTGTTAAACCAACTTATTACTAATTCATCACTTATTAAATAACATATTCAATCTTATTTTTATGATTAGACTGTACTTAGATCTATTAATGAAACTCTCTTTAATAATTTCTAGAAACAACAATACTTTTCACTTTCTCATATCAATTCAAGTTTGTATTATTCTCTCAATTCCCCTATTACTAATGAAGAACTTCTCCAAACCCTCTTACAATTATCTAATAACAAAGCTTGTAGTCTTACAAGTATTAGTTATAAAATGCTTAAACACATTAGTCCCAAATGCACTTCTGCTATTATTGCTATTTTTAATTATTGTCTTCTTAATAACAAAATTTCTAAATAATAGAAACATAGTATAATTTATCCTATTTCTAAATGCAACATCTTTGATGATGACTTTAATCTTACATGACCTATTAGTCTGATCAAATACATTTACAAGCTTTATATAAAAATTCTTACAAACTGACTTAGCTCTGTATTTTTTTCAAACTCTATTTTCTTATCTTTTAATTATGTTATACTTTCCAATAATAGTACTTTAATTCCTATTCATATTCTCAATAATCTTATTAAAGATGCTATCTGCAATCACAAAGACATTTGATTATTCTTATAAAATATAAGCAAAACATATGATTCTGTAAACTTTATTTTTTTTAAATATTTATTTTCTCATTTCTTACTTCTTTTATTCATCATTATCATTTTTATTGATCTTCTTACTGATCATTACAACTAAGTTATTACCAATTTTGGTCTTATTTCCTTTTATCCAATTTACAATAATATTAATCAAGATGAAACAATTATATCTTTATTATAGCATATCTATTATGACCCACTTATTTCATATATATACTTAAAAGTATCTGGATATACTTTACAATCTACTTGGACCACCAATATAAAACTCCAAACAACCAATTCATTACAAAAACAATGTTCTGTTTTAGCATATATGAATAATACTCTCTGGGTTACTTTCTTATAAACTGAGTTATCTTATATATTATCTATAGCAGAATCATATTATACTATGCCTAATATCTAAGTTAATTCTTTAAATTTTATTTTGGTTACTAATAACCCTCCATTCTACTATACTCCTATTTCTTATAATAACTATCTACTTCTACTTTATTCTTTTAAACAATCCTTTAAATTTTTAAATTACTGATTTACTTTAGATAACAGGCAATCTAAACAAAAAAAATTAATTATCTTTAAATTC